TACGTCCTTTAAACGTGACCTAAATTTATTTTCTCACCTCTTACCTATTTATTAATTTCATATATGTTCCTATGACAAGTCCGTGTGTGATCAGATTGTTCGAAATGTGTTGCACAAATACAGCATTACACGATTCAGACAAATTACGTCTTCGTATTGCTTTATCTAAATTCATAAAGGGAACTAACTGTTTTAAATAAAAATTATAATTCACTGTTTTACGAGTTGATCACGGACTGATATCAGTTAGAGAACCATTGAAAACCAGGGAGTACTGGACAGCTGCTGTTTCATCCTAGTTTGGGAATCATCGGCAGTACGCACCCACTGGGATTCGAACCCGGGACCTTCCGGTTACAAGGCGAGCTCGTATACCATTCAGCCACTGGGACCCGATTCAATGGCTCATGAATTCTAACTTCTACCAATTCGTGACTTTAGCGCGACCCCAACTATTGTCGTTGGTGGAAATCCATCCACACGTGACTTCTAATTGGACCTCACTGGTCACGACTTCTCACTAGAACTGCAGGAAGCTCCAACCTGTAGCAAGTCACTAGCGAGCATCAGAATAATCCTTACAAACCAAACTTTAGAAGATAATTCACTGTGTAAACTATGCACTCGGTGTCCAGTTATCGTCAAAATATTCAGTCAGATCTTGATTATAATTCATATAAATTTATAATTTGTGAGCTTCAACAACTTGCTACTATCCTTGCATCCTACTTTTTTGTTTTATTCAAGTAAATCAGATCACATTTCACATTTAAGTACAGTAGTACTTTTATATTCTACTAACCCACGTATTAGAATTATTATTGTCTCCAGTGTTCTAAAGTATGTTAAAATTGTGAAAAAACTATTAACTTTGATTCTAATCATTGTATGCCGTTGAAAAGATGCCGACTTAATAAACAAAGGATCCGTTTTATCCGGCACTATGTGTCCTTATTGCTTTATTCGAATTCACTAAGGGGAATTCTTATTTCACAAAGATGATACAAAAATAAACGAAAAGAGAAAAGACAGGGTAGGTCATGGAGACGACCTTAATGCCTTCTAAACTTTTTGTTACATGTATATAACACAATAGCGTGTTAATTTTTCTCGGAGTACTGACAAAAATGCAACTTATAATTAGACTTAGGCATTTGTTGCAAACATTTAATTTCAGAACAATTTTCAATTAAGAAAGTTACTTCTGTCGTTTTATGCATAACTGCATGCAAAAGTATTTCGACTACCAACAGACGCAAAATATTTGCAGTAGTTGATTGTATGACATAAACATCTATACACGGAAATGCTTTTATCCAACTTTCGGGTAGTTAAAGTCGAAACTGTAAACGTAATAATTATGAAGTGTAATCAGATTCCAGATGTCTAGTTAAGTTCCATACATTAAACTTCATATAACTATTAAGTTTATTAAGTCCCTTCGTTAAGAATTTATTTTCTTATGAAATGACCATTTTAATAATGTCGAGTGAATTATTCATCACCATCATCTGGTTTTCATTAAACTAGAAGATTATAGTTAAAGAAAATATGAAAATGATAAGAATGGTTATCAAAAGTACCGGAAAGAAACGAGAAATTAGGCGCCAGGATTCATGTTTTAATTAAAGCCGATTGAAATGAAATAATAATAATCTCGAAGCAGGACAATTGTTTGATTCAATTATTCACTGATTTGTTGTAGAACAGGAAACAAAATAATGCTTTGCATTTTTTTTTAATCCACTTTTTGTTTTATTTCTATTCTCCGGTGTGATTAATATTTTGTTCTTATGGTGGCATTGCTAGTAGAAAGAATCAGGATAAACTTTTAATTGGATCTACAGTTTATAAAGATTTCTAGACTCCAGTGTATAGACAGAAAAAGCAGATTTAACTGGTTAATAGCCTTATAATTAATGGTGTTATTTTTTAATTATAAACACCAAGCATTAGGAAAATTATTACTGTGCGATTTCATCAAAGTGCATCGGTGGCATAGCGGTTAGGACGCTCTCCAACCATGCACATGGTCCGGGGTTCGATCCCCGGCCGACGCACTCCTTTACATCGCTAAGCCAGAAATAAAAGCTGGTGAAAAGGAAAGATTGGGCACGAGGTTAGCAACCACATCCTGTAGAAATAAACACTGCTACAGAAACTTCAAGCCTCTAGCTTGAAGCCCTATGCTCCACTGGGAACGTGATGGAATAATAAAAAAATGATTTCATCAAAAACAAATTATTATGATTTAGTCTGTTTCACTGTCGATTAGGAAATGGTTCTATGAATTAAAACTGAAAAATGAATTCTACTTAGTATGATGGAACAATCAGTAACTAATAATTCTTAATTTAATAGCATAATTAGTGATTCCTGTTTGATCTTCTTCGAGATAAGTCTAATTGTTCTGATTTACTAAAATGATAAGGGTTTATGGTTCACTTTTCACAAGTATTTTAATAATAAAATTGACTCAATGATTTTTAATGACCACTTTATTGACACGAAGGTACTTTGCATCAGAAACAAAACACACTCAAGAATACATTTCTAGGTAGATTTACAAATGAGTCGAATAAACACAGATAAAGATGATGATTTGTCAGAATGATCTTAAATATATCACGCCATTTTTCTATGTTTATTTTGATCTCACGTTGAGATACTCAGTTGAAATCGATAAGAAGAAGAAAGAAAAATTTGCGTTTCTGAGAAATACTTAGTATATGAAGACCAGAGATGGTCATGTCAAATCATTTGAATTCCTTTTTAAGGGAAATTTGCAATTATAGTCGGTTAACCTTTACTCATCCAGCAAGTATCATTTTTTATCCCTTTGCGTTCTGAGTGTAACATAAGGCTTCAAGCTTGAGCTTTGAATTTTTAGCGACAGTGGTGTTCCTTCTCAGGGTGTGAGGCTGCTAGCCTTCTGACCGAACTCCCCTCTTTACCAGCTTTCCTACCGGCTAAGAGAGGTTAAGGAATGTGTCGGTGGGGAATCAAACCCAGGAACATGTGTGTAGCCGGTGAATGTTCTGTCACTGAACCACCAACGCAAGTAAGTATCATAAGTCCAAGTAAAAGCAAAGGGATCCTATTTTTAGGTTTCATTTGAAGCTAACGTAAACATAATTTTCAGAAGAATCAGTTTTAACAGTTAGCAATGTTTTGCTTGGATAAATAACGGTTAAATTGAATACATTGGATCACATATCAGAAAACAGTTGGTCATATTATCAACCAGGCAAATATCTTTAGACAAATTAAGTGTACAAATTGTATAACAAAAAGGTAGTCTTACATTTAAGCATAACTGAATTCAGAATTATTTTTCATCACCAATATCCGTATAGCGATCAAGAGGTACATTCTATAACACGAATTACATATATATGTCATTTATGTCGTACTATTTTCTACCTATAGAAATTTTATTCTTATCCATCAACAGAAAACATTTAATTAAACGTGACAGCTATTCCTTCACTTTATCTGATCTATGCAACCATAAATCTTATAAATCTCTGAATAATTATTGGAATCTGACTTAAGAGTAACTTTCACGTTTTAACTAGAATAAATGAACCTTTGTGTTATATTTAAAAGTGAAGTAAACAGAGATATATGTTGGGATTTCCATAGGGCATGTATTATCAAAGCTACATTCTATCTTGTTGGTGGTGGTGTCGATTCAAAGACAGTCAATAATTGTAAATGACTTGACAAGTATGTACCTCAACATTTTTCAAAATCTTATATAGGTTGAAGGGAAAAGTTAACCACAAGATAAAATGAAATGAATTCCATCAAATCTTCAGCTTATTACCAAAAATTTGGAAATACACGCACAATAAACATTAGCATGAGTATGGAAATATCAAAGCTCTAATACTACTGAATATCTAAGGAACTTATTAGTGCATTCAAAAGGAGTTTATAAATATATGTACCACTGGATAACACCTAGGAATTGGACTGAAAATAAAAGAGGGTTAAAGAAATACTTCATCCGAATTTACAAGGTTCACCTCAAGGCTATGTCGGATTGTCAAGAAATTCTGTTTTAAAACCAAACAACTCATTATGTGTGTACGTTGACGGTTGTATAAATTTTGATTTCATACTTAAAATTCTTAAAATACCCTTCTTCTTCGGTGGCATGGTAAATACTTGAACCACCAAAAGCCTCCATCACTTTACTGCATATAATTTCTCTTGTTCACTTCGTTTTAATAAGTGCTTCGGTGGCATAGCGGTTAGGACGCTCGCCAACCAGGCATGTGATCCAGGATTCGATCCCTGGCTGACGCACTCCTTTACCTCGCTAAGCCAGAAATAATGGTGCTGAAGAGGGAAGGTTGGTCATGAGGCTAGCAACCTCATCCTGTAAAATAAACACTTCTACAGAAACTTCAAGCCACTAGCCTGAAGCCCTATGTTCCACTGCGAAACGTGAAGGAAAACAAAAAAACTTCGATTTAATCCATTAAAATATGACCTCTCGCGGGTGTTTAAATTGTTAACAACCTGCTGATTTGCAAGTTCCTTGTAAGCTTAGAAAAAAACATAATCGTGGTTGGCAACGTATCCTAATACATGAGATAATTGTCCCTGAATTATATCCTTTGGTCTCAAAAAAAGAGAAATATTATAATGGATTGATTTTCACTTCAGATCAGACGGCATTGTGTTACAGGATCTATTTTCAGTCAGTTAATATTTTATCTGAAGATCTTCTACGAAGAGAAAATATCTAGCAATAAACTTTACTGAAAATTCTGTAAATTATATGAACACTGTCCAGAATAAAGCTATTATTAATAATAATAAAATAGGATAGAAATATTTAACATCACTGAAATTGACAGTAATAACTGAGCAAATATACTACAAAATATTAGTCCACTGCTTCTTATAAAATGTACTTGGTTACATAAAATTAAAATAAATAGTTAAATAGTTCAATTAAATAAATAAATAGCTTTCTCAGAACATACTTTAAATTGACATTATGGAGAGTATAATTTCCTCATTCAAGATTTGCGTATATATATACGTATACATATATATATATATGTAGGTAGATACATTAATAAATGTATGTTTATAATTTGACGAATTAGTATTAGGCAAGTGAAATAATATTTTATAATGGCAAAAAATTGAGAATAACAGTCATACTGCTTTTAAATATTATCCAATCAAATTGCAATTCTATAAACCAACTATTTCTACTGGTTATTTATTCTTAATGTTAAAATAAAGATATTTTTGTTTTATATTTTAGTTGTTAACATGCGCATATATTTAGATATGTCTAACTACTTAAATAATGGTACCAAGTGTCAATCAAAGTTAGTTATTCATTTAATCTGGTCGCTTGACTTTCTGTTAGATGTTATGTAAGGGAAGTACTGTCTTGTAGTACCAGTTAGGTTACGAACGGTATTTTGAGGCATGAAGGCATTTCAATTCACATTGAAAAAAACAGTTTCATCAAAAAAGTCTGTTCGCTTCCTAACAAGCATCAAACAACAAAAAACCTAGAGAATTTTCATCAGTGGGCTGCATCAGTCTAACAGATGAGGGATTAAAATTGTTTTTAACATATCAGCTTACCAAATTACTTTAAACTACATATGACCACAAATGTTTGCGTTCTATGTACCGTTTTAGGTGGTATAATATGATGAGCAGTATTGAGAATAGGCATGGAGTGCTGGGTAGTGAAGTGAAGTCAGTCAGTGAGATTGTTGAGCCACATTAAATGAGATTGCTGGGATTTTTGCTATCTAAATAAAGCAAGAACAACAGTGGTTTGTGCAGAATAATATGGTACCATCTCATTGGCTGCTTACAGCCTAAATAAATTTTGAGGTTTACGTACAGAAAAGTTTTAACATACTTGCAAATTTTACATGTTGTCAGTTGACAGAAAGTTCCACAATTAGTGAACAGTGCTCAGAAAATTGTGCTTATATAGTTTTTACTCAGGCAGTTCAAGTCAAAATAAGTGTATGCTTACAATGGTAAAGGAGTTACGTAATAAAGACGAGAGGTGAGTAAGATGATGAGTGACTAATAAATTTGGTAACTATGTACTGAGTTCAAATGACGTCACAGAAACAAGAGACAAGCAATGTTACAGATTATAAAAAAGTGGGGTGAGGTTAAAGACAAAGATTACGTAATCAGAGTAGAGAAAAAAGACATGCAGTTACCATGGCAAGGAAAGACTAACAACTGCTCCTTTCTGAACACATAAATCTGGTTTGAAGCGTTTGATAGAAATTGCTTCAGCAAACTTGAGGAGACATAGACATCACTCTCCTGGACGATCATTATTGGTTGACATGAGATAAGGTTGAAAAGTAACTTGGCATCAGTTTATGAAATCTTTGATTGTTGGTTTAAGCCAGGAACACGGATAGGTGCAGACCGGTTGGCTGGCATCCTTGAAATGCTAAGAACAAATGATTAGAAACTGTTAGTAACAAGGTACGAATTTGTTCGCGGTGACGTAGATGCAATCACTCTTTGTAATAACTCATATCCATAAAGTAGTCATGTTTTTTCATGTTCTGATTCTTTCTCCTGTACATTTCTGCTCATTATGGGTATTTGAATTTTGTTTTCTTCTTTTCTTTACATTTGTGTGCTACGCGAATCGTGGCAACTTGAACTGTCTCCCTTCCATGCAAAGTTCTGCATTGCTGTCAGTAACAATCTTTTAAGAAGGACATCTCCATAAGGATGACAAACACATACCTTGATAATAATAATTATAAGGTTTCTCCTCAGATGTAGTAGGTGTATGGAGATAACTGAAATCACCAAGTCAAGTGAAGTAACCAAAATAAAGTCTAGAGATACTCATACATTTTTCTAAAGTATAAGTCCACTGTAACCGTTTCGCTCTTGCGTAAATTCACAAAAGTAAGATTCATGTTTGGTAATTACCGATTTTCAATTGTTGGTTTCCATGGATTTGATTGATGTCAATTTCGATCACGAAATGACTTCAGTTAGAGAACTACTGAACAGCATGGAGTACTAAACAGCGGTTTTGTCTGTATTTGAGACTCTTCAGGGGTTGAACCCAGGATCATCAGGTTACAAGGAGAACTCGTGTACTATTCAGTCCCTGAGATACTATCTGGTGGGTGAAGCTGACAGAAGTTCTGGTGGGTATTCTGTGATCAGCAGTGTCCATGAAGTTGGGAATGAAGACAAATACCTGCTGTTGATAGTCACTGGAGATTGTGCCGAAAATCGCAAATTGGCAGTAGTTAGACTTCATGGGCTGGTCACTAGATTCCATCCCAGTGACTGAATGGTATAAGAATTTTCCTGACAACCTTATGGTCCTGGCTTCGGTCTCTGTTTGTCTCATTAGTGTTTACAGCTGAGGAAGGCCAAAACGTCTGCCAAACTCCTCCTGGTTTTCAACGGTTTTTTAACGAAGTCAGTTTGTAATCATAATTACTGAATTGTCCACAAACTGAGCTAGATACAGAAGCGCTGCTGTTATAACTAGATATTCAAGGAACTGCTGAAGTAATCTGAGGATATCTGAGGGCATTTTAGTGACTGTTATAAAACCATTAGGATTCAGCAGTTTATTTCTCGCGTTACTATAATGTGTGTATATATCTGTCACTGAATAAGTGACGTTTGTAAAAATACGAATTATCGTTACTAATTTTTTTGGAAAAATAGATTTGTCTAGAATCAACATTCGCACGTCAGATGGAAATAAATAACAAAGATAAACTGTATAATTGCAAGCAAATGAACTTGATTTCCAGTGTCATAAAATTTAGATTTCGGATAATTGTTTTTCAAGGAATACATTCTTTAAAATTTGATTTCATCTGAAAGTTAGCCAGACTTTTCAGAAAATGGAAAAATTGATTTTTCACTTAGTAATGACCACTATGAATGCAGTTTTTTTTACCTGAAGCAGTTTACTTCACGAGTTACACAATAGTTAAGGTAGACTATGTACTACTTATAAATGACATATTTTACGCAGTCCTGGTGGAGACTTTGAACTTTCAAAAGCCGATGTATTCACATCTCGCACTTATACTTAAGCCTTCCTTATCACTCTGCTTTATCTTAAAGTAATTCGCATAAAGGAGATATAATATTTATGAATTAAATTAAGATTTAATAGGATAAAACAGCTTTCATAAGTAGAGACAGCATAGAGCATTTCATCATTGTAGAAATACAGTGGACTTTTCTGATATCCAATCCGTAGCAATAACCGGTCGTTCACTCATAACATCTATATGAACTGATAACTTAATAAAATTAACCCTTATGAAGAGAAAACAGTTTCGTTACTTCCTTCTTATTAAGTAACACTAATAATGGTGTTATTAGCATTATTCTGGAAATAATAATTAAACACAACTCAGAATTTTCAGAGTAATTTGCTGCAAAACATCTACTATCCATATCAATAAAAATCCATCGACAGTTTAACGCCATTTAACGCCATTCAATATGAAACAACACTTACTTCTGTATGATATTTTTCCTTCATTTTCTTCTTGAAGTGTGAACATCAGTAGGTTGAAGGTTAATTAAAAATTTGCATGCGCTCATGTTGCTATCAAAGCATATAATTGAAAGATTAAAACAGCAAAATGCGAGGGAAAATGGATGCATCTGACTGGATGGAAATTGAGGTAGCCCAATAGCTTAAGCAAGCCGCCAGATTAATTATTAGGCTTTACTATTCTCACTGTTTTCACTCATATTTTGTGTACTTATGTACTTTTAATGTTTAATATCTTTCAATATTAATAAGTACGATATTTTGTCTGTTATTGCAAGCGGATAGATTTAATCCGCTCAAGACTCATTAATGCTACCGAAGGATCCTATTTAGCGAAATTCATCTATAAAAACTAAGAAAAAGACAATAAATGGGAAAACAAAGAAATCTAAATAACACATTGTAATAAAACAGATTAATAAGAGGTAAGGCAATAGAACAAATGTAATATTAGATTTGAATTAGTGAAAGACTTGTTACAAGCCATGTAGCTACCAGCAGAAAGCCTTGAACTGATGTTTCATGTTAACATGACTCGAAAAAATTCAGTCTTCACTGAACAACAAGCTGGATGCATGACACTAATTACTACCTAGTGTTCAATCAAAGGATCATAAACTGCGTTAGAAGCATGGAATAAAATCAAATAACCTAAAGAACTAGTGAATACGCAGTTCATTGTCATATCTTGATAGGTCTAGGACTAAATTACACAGATAAACTAGTTAGCTGGTTTTTCTATCCTAATTTTACTTTTCCATCAGCACTAAATGTTACTTTAGTCAAGTGATACGTCACATTTAATAAGCATCAGGGACCCTACTTACAGACTACTGCCTATCAACTCCTATTCAAACCCACTTTCCACAACAGACCTTTCACTTTTGTCGGATTTGAATGCTGCTAGCGACTTCTGTGTGATTATTATTGGAGTTGAATGAATTCAAGTGTCTTTTCTTTTAATAAAGTGGTTGTGTTCATCGTATTTGATATTTGAAAATCTACTTTTTTGGCAAGATACATTTGTTAGCCAATTATTAGATAGTCAGATGTCAAATAAGAGATCAAACTTATCTCCAATCATCAAAAGCAATAAAGTTCTATTTCAGTTTAACTTCTACATTGTTTCCCCGCGTTTCATAATAGATGTTTTTTCTGATCTTGCACTATGGGGATTTGCTAGTGTTTTACTTTTTTGTATCAAACAAAACCTGTTTACGGAAATTATCAAATCAATTTAAATTTCATACCGACAGCTACGATTTGTACTCCCTATTATGTTCAATCATATAACAAGCACGAATTACGTTTTCTCAGCTAATTCTTTATACAGGCTTTCCATTGGACAGATTAACTTACGGAATCCTTCGAAGTGAGGACAGGAATAAGACAAGCTGACTGCCTACTATCGCCAATGATTTTCCTGACTGCAGTAAACTGGATAATGCGACAAACAGCGGGCAATGAGGAAACAGGCATAAAATGGACTCACACAAAAACCTTGGAGGATCTGGACTTCGTCCATGATATATGTCTGATTTCCCACAA